CAATAAATACCTAAGAAAAACATAGTTATCCTTCATAATCATGATACCAAACTACAAATTCTCAAAGCATGGGGCTTTTTCCCTTCTTCCCAACTCCTTTTTTTACACCACCACTGCTACCTGTTGCACCTTGACTTCTATTTGCTCCTACACTCTTGTTAACTCCTACATTGCAACCTGCTGCACCTTCTCCTTTTGTATTCCCTGCTGCACCTTCTCCTGTTCCATTCCCAGTCTGTGATTGTCCCTTGCAGGTCTTTCCATTATGGCCCACATTTCCACATTTTGTGCATGTTACAGATTTCCATTTTGTGGACACTCCATCATCTTCTGTTGCAGATCTTCTTCTCTTTTTTTTGGTCTGTCAATAAGGACACGATACTTTGGTGGTATCAACTTGGTAGGACATGTGCTTTTTTCCCATAAAAACCTCCCATTAATAGGTTCAACTTTGAAGACATACATTTCTTTCCAAGGGTCTTAGTGGCTGTAGGAGTTAATGGGCCATTAGTTTTGTCAATTTCTTTTTGAACCATGACAATTTTCCTCATGATATACTCCCTAATAAACTCCAAGCAACTGACAATTGGCTTATCACGACCCTTCATTATCTTGCTATTCAAACTTTCACACATATTATTCAACAAAGAATCACAATGTGCCCTCCCTGATAAAACACAACTGTATTAGATTATATTTAGAAATTATACACTTATCAACATAATATTATATACCTGAGAAGTGGGATCTGGACCAATGCTTAGGTGGAATAGGACCACTCTAATCATGTTTCTAATATCTCAAGGTTTGGTATTATCCCTTTATAAACCACTATAATCCTGTTTTTATCATTCTTGACGAAGTCTAACTCCCTTCTACTCTGTATGGAATGAAGATAAATTTTTTGTTTAACTTCCTTGGCTGTGCTAAAAGTCTGGTGGATGTAAAATGGATCTTTGACAGCAGCTGCTTCATTCTTATGTGCTCTTTGTAAATCTCTTATCTTCTTCCATTTTTCACTAGCTTCACCCTCATCTGATGAAGATGCAGATACTAATTCTTCAATGTCTATAACCTCTAATTCTTCATCACCTTCTACTGCTTCATCTCGATCATCAGGAAAACTTCTAACCCACTCCACCTCTTTGTCAATGTTAAGGTGAAATTTCTTCATATCAACCTCTGGATCATTTAACAAATTATCTTCATCAACAATGTAATCGCTATCTTGACTGTCTTCACTATCTTCATTGTCTTCACTATCATCACTGTCTTTACTAGCTTGACTGTCTTCATCTGCTTTTTTCACTATTTGGTTCATCTTTTTCCATAGGAGTCCCACCAAAAGGTTCACACCATTCAAATGTATCATCACAATATCAACATTAGGACATGTGCTTCCCATCATTGATTCAGTCAAAGGGCTTTCAATTCTTGGTATATAGGCAGGGGTTGACTCAACTGTTTCACTAAATGTAACAGGGGGTCGTTCCAAGGTTTTTTCAGGTAATGTACTAGGGGCTGGTCCATAGTTTCTACATTCTAAAAAACATGGGCTTCTTCACTAGGACCATCCCCTGAGATTGACCATGTCAATAACAATCTTTTACGACAAAGGGACTCATGAATTTTTTGTATCTTTATCATTACAGGGTTTGGGGACATTTGATACGTATGCATCTTGGTTTCCCAAAACTCAGTATACACTTCTATCACCTTGTGTTCATAAACATATGACCTAAAGTGGTTTATATCTTCGTCACATCCTAAAGCATACAACTCAAAATCTAAATCCCAAGTTGGTCGTATGAAATGGTAGTAAATACTTTTACCTGGTTCCACACAATCAAGCAATTCCATTATCTCATCCATATCATGCACCAGGAAAAAGTCACTATCAACGCCATCAATATATTTCATCTCCCCTTTATGTATTTACGGCCTGAAAACTTCGTAAAAACTCCACCATAGTTGAATCGTATCGAGAACATAGATGGATTGTCAGGTGCGAACCCAAAAAATAAAACAAAAATTAAATTTTATTATCTTTTAGGAACGTCTAATGGATGATCAACTGAAAATGTAAATTTTTTTACCGTATGATCTTTGGAGATCGTATTCCTCCCATTCTTGCCTAATCCTCCAGTTCACTGTCGTAGAAAACTAGGGTTTTCTTGTGCAATGCTAAGGGTCGACGGAGGATGAAATGAGAAATGATTGGTTATCGAAGTCGCACAATAATGGGTCATGTATACAAACCCTGAAAAGGCAAAAATGCCCCTGTGTGCAAGGCACGTAGGTAGCTTAAACGGAAGCATTTAACGGTTAACGTGCATAGGGACTAATCGTGCAAGATAAATAACAATAAGGGATTGTCCAAGTTAAATTTTGGAAATAGGGACTAAAAATGCTTTCTGGCATGTGCACGGGGGACCGATGGTGTAATTTACCCAATGAAATTAGATGGTGGTAGGCGAGATTTCTAATTCATATGAGAACAAGTAAGTAAAGGTTTAGTAAGGAAGGACTATAGCTGTCAAGTTTCCATAGTTGTGTGATATTTGGGCTCTTTCCTTCTTGTTCCTCATTCACAATTCAACCAAGCCTCACCCTACTCCATGGCGATTTTCTCTCAAAACAGTAAATGTGTGAAGCTTGAAATATTGGTTAAGGCCTTAATGAATTCCATTCATAATCTATCTTTGGAAAATATATTCATCTTCCTTTCTCTACCAATTTCATTCTAAAGTTTTGAGTGATAGAGTCAAATCCGATTTATAGATTGAAATTCATGAATTATTGTAGTTTTGGTGAAGTTTATGGTATTTCTAACCGTATACCATCTTAAATATGAATTTAATGATTGATTTGTAAATCGATTGAGTTTTGATGTTTGTACCATGTTTTAGAACGTCAAGGAATCACCATCCAACCCATGGAATGGTTGATTCCATATTCAATGATGAAATGTGGGGATTCATAACCCTTAACTTGAAGTTGAGTTGCACTTATGCATTAAAGAGTTGTACTTTATCTCATTGTTGAAATTCTAAATTTAAATCTAGGTTGTAGATGGAGTTTTAAAATTTAAGATAAGGTAAAGAAAAGAAACAATAAAGGAAAAAGAAGAGAAAAATAATAATTAATTAGGTGTGTCTCTGAGTTGGAATGAAACAACATGAAAATTATAATCCTAGGTTGGAAGAAAATGATACATTTTTAAGGGAGGAAAGGGTAAATTCCGTCTAATTCTATCCTCTCATTGCCTTCTCCTTATCATCCCAAATTCAGGTGAATACATCCTGAGGGGATGAATGGGTACGTGTTCCTTCCTAATCCCTTCATTCCCTTCATTTCCCCTAAAAAAAATTCAAGAATAGGTTTTTTCCTACCTAATCCATTCTTTCCTTAAAAAAAAAACTGTAGAACAAAGCATAAACCTTTTGTCGTTAATATCCTTGGTCCACGATGTCCAAATTCGATAAATATAGCAACAATAGCAAGGGTTTGCATTACCATCTGTCGTATTTGGCTTGAAGAAATGTGGTTTTTTGTTAGAGACATGCAACTTTAAGGAACAAGACATTGCAATTATAAAAAATTTAGTGCTCTAATTTTGTCCAATGCTGGGGAGTTCTTGCCCTAATGGTGCATACCGATGTATGGAAGAAGATGGTTGGTAACCGGATGTCGAACACATCAAACATATATCAAATCAACATCAAACATGTTTTTCCTAATGATAATGATGTTTTTTGAATAATATTTTAAAACATGTTATTCCTAATGATAATGATGTTTTTTTAATATAACAAACGAACATGAACACATAAACAAACACATTTTTTTTTGTTTGTGTTTGTCTGTTTAAAAATATCTCTTGTTTATGTTTGTTTGTGGTTGTTTATTAATATGTTAAACGAACATAAATGAACGAACGAACACAAAACGAGCATCAACAAATATAACATAACATATATAAATGAAGATTACCAAATATAACTAGCATAACCATTCAAACGAGCAACAATATATCAATAAAATATTTATACATAAATCTTAAAATGTAAAACTTCCAAAATCCGAAAATAACTCAAAAATAAAGTTTAAATATCATCTCCATCCAAATATCTTCACAAAAAGTCAAGCTTAAAAATTTCTGACTTTAGGTTCGTAACATATAAATTCACCACGCCATTAATGATAAATAACAATTCAATGCATGGTCTAACATTTAAGATCATCATTACTCATCAATCCTTAAAAATCATGGAAGTTCGAACATATATAATATCATAAACGAAAAAGACAAATGTTAACAAATAAACATAAACAAAGGAACATAAATGAACATGAACAAACATTCATGAAACTAAGTAAACGAACATGATCATTGTTAATGTTTGTTTGTTTAATTAAACAAACAAATCATGTTCATGTTCATGTTCATTTGTTTATTAAACAACAAACATAAACGAACATACCGACAAATGGTCATGTACAGTTTGTCAAACGTTTGGTTAGTTTAAAGTTACAAAAAACATTATCTGAAAAAAAAAAGAGATTAATTATATTTTCTAAATAAAAACGAATGCTTTTTACTCCATTATTCCCTAAAAAAAAATATATATTTTGATGATTAGGTCCATTGCGACTGTGGTAAATTAGCTTTCCATTGTATTCTTTAATGGTTATTTCTTGGATATTTTAATCTTTCTAAGTTCATAAACTTTAAGATTATTATAAACTTGTTGAGGTTTGGAAAAAAAAATTACAAGATCAAATTTCTTAAAACAAATATCTACATCTAAAAGGCACATAAAGATATTTTTAAAATTTATGAACGTGATGTTTTACTAAGTTGAAAACCCCCATGACTTCGTGAATCACAGCAGTAAATAATGTTTAGTTCTTTACATTTTGGTTTAGATGTTTATAACAAATACATAAACATAAAAAATATCGGTTTTCAAATTTAAATTATCAATGATTTTTTTTTTTTAATTTTTTTTTTGACTTTTTCCTTAATTTATATTCTATATTTTTACATCAAATATAAAACGTAGATATTAAGAAAATACTAAAAAATCGTCACATATCAATATTTTCAAATTTAACCATAAAAGTAAAGGATAATATACTTTTCGATTTGTACACATATGATCATTTATTTTTTCTTTTGATCCGCATATTCTCCTTGAACTTGTTTAGGTGCACACATTCAATCCTTATAACCGACTACTCAAGGAAACTAGAAAAAATAACTTAATAGGGTAATATATTTCTCACTTTTTACACATTTACTCCTTAATATATTTTTTTAACATTTAGTTTTTAATATTTTTTTTGTTGCAAAATAAGTTATTTGTTTTGTACACATTCAGTACTTATGACACGTTTCTTTGGGTTTTTTTTTTTCAAAACAATAAGGTGTTCAGGGTTGTTAATACTTATGGGCACTGCAGCCTTGGCTGCCTGGTTCCTTAGATCTCAGATTTTAACGATCTTTATATTCACATGTTCGTATTTGTGTCTACTATAATTTTCCTTTAGATTAGTCCCTTTAAAAAGTAATATATTTTTTACTTACAATCAAGGTTGTAAAACTCGTTTCTCGCTATCTGTTCGGCCAACTACCGACGAACGAGTACTCGGGGAGTACTCGGATTCGGTAATTCATGTAGAAATATCTTTAGGGGAATTATATATGTCGAAATCATAAATTAAAATCAAAAGTTGATTGAAATATATAACAAGATTAGATACATGTGAATATACAAAAACAACAAAAATACATAATGGTCTCACTTCATGAATAATTGTTGAAAATTTAAGATATATATAGCAATAATCACATGTGTGTGTGTGTTAAATAATGTCATTAAGTATATTATACATATTAATCACCGAACTGACCGGGTTTTGCAATATTACTCAGTTCAGTAAGGAGCTGATCGGGGAGTACTCGGGATTCTGCAACTCTCCTCGGTAAGGGGCCGAATAGCGAGTACTCAGAGGAGTAATCGGGGAACTCGGCGAGTTTTACAACACTGCTTACGATTTTATAAAAAAATGTTTATAGATAAAGTTATAAAGAACACATGTATATAATGATCATAAGTAAAATATATTACTTTTTTAACGAGAGTAATCTAAATAAAAATTATAGCAGACTCAAATATGAACGCATGGATATAAAAATCGTTAAAATCTGAGATCGTATGAAGAATTTATGACGTTCAGAATACAAGACCTAAGCTAAACCATAATACATAAACAACCAAGCAAGCGATGACATGGTGGCTATAAGCATCAACATCCCCGAACACATCTATAATGATTGTCCCACGTAGGATACCGTGAGAAAAACATAAAGAAATTGGTCATCAGCAATGAATGTGTAAAAAA